TCCTTGAACTCCTTCCTTATTTTCAAACAATTTAGTCATGACTTTAAAAAATAAAAATCCCAAATATTCTATATCAGAGGTATCTAAAATAGGCTACTCTGAAATAACTAAGTAAAAAATACCTTCACAGAAAATTACTTTGATAAAAGTCATACAACTGCTCACAGGAATCAGGAAAGTAAAAGTACTTTTTACACACTTGAAGAAATGAAGTGTTGAATTTACTGAACCAAACTGGTTCCACTAAACCAGGGGTGCCCAAACATTTTCCCTGAGAGGGCCAAAATTAAAAAACATTTTCCCTGAGAGGGCCTAAATTAAAATCAATCTGAGGGCCGTGGGCCAAATGCAATAATATAAGAAATGAAAATACTTAAGTAAAGTTGTTTTATTTTTTATGATTAAGATAGCAGCCAGTGTGGTTGCCCACATTCTTTAGTTGTTTTTTTTTTCAGCCTATGGACGTGGAGAAAATTGGTCTTATAAGGTGTGCAAATCTATATATGAGCTTAAATCTAATCTAAATGTCTCTTGTAGTTACTTGTATTTTATATTTAATCTTAACATTACAATCTTGTAAGCAGGACAACTGCTGGTGGGCCAAATCAAATGGCTCAGGGGGCCAATTTTGGCCCGCGGGCCCCACTTTGKGCACCTCTGCACTAAACTGAGTTGAGTAAATATAAAGAGATTTACTCAACTCAAATTAGTGGAACCAGTTTGGTTCAGCTAAGTAAATCTCTTTATATTTACTCAACTCAGTTTAGTGGAACCAGTGGACTAAAACTCCATGGGTAAGATACATGTTAAAATACAAGCAATAAAATAAAAGAACAGATAATGGTTAAAACATAGATATCAAATGTTTTACTAACACTATCTTTTAGGATAAGTCCCAACAGTTTCAGATCTGCAGGGTGTTCAATACTGAAGGGGCAGCAAAGCAGAACGCTCTTTCTCCCCTAATCCAGTTCTGATACGAGGAACCTTCAGAAGGACAACACTGTTAGGACACAGTGTCTGCTGAGATAACCACACAATGCAGAACGATGGTGTTAAAGAAAAATTCTGTTATTGGCTCCAAAAGATCTTTGGCATATTTATTGTAAAAACATGATTGTGAATCCAAAAATATTATGATTTCTTGCAGTAAGAGTGTTTTATTTTGACTGCTGGATCATAGTATCTTGATTTTAGCTGTGGGTAATTAGATAGATGTGACCCACGTCTGTATGTGTCTTTGAATTTGTGAGATTCTGTTTAGTCTGGGCTGCAACTCGGGCAGAACTAAATCAGTTCTGTTAGACCTGCAGTCTGCTATATTACCTAATTTTATATTCTTTATTTATCGTTTTAGTACTCTTAATAAATTGCCACAAAACACAACTGACTTGTTTAATTCTTGAGTCCACTATTATTTCAGAAAATCCACAGGCGAGCCCTGGAGGGAACATATAAAGAAAAGAAAAAAAAGAAGAAGAGGAAACACTAAAATCAGAGAAGGGCATTTATAAAACCTAAATTATCAGCCTTAAATATAGAGGGAGGAGCTCCATCACGAGTCCATAACAGGCTCTCTTCATGGACAAGAGAAAAAAAGACAAATGCTTTCAGGAGAGACATAAATTGAGTTACAGTGGGTAAAATAAGTATTGAACACGTCAACATTTTTCTCAGTAAATATATTACTAGAGGTGCTAATGACATGAAATTTTCACCAGATGTCGGTAACAACCCAAGTGATCCATACATACAAAGAAATCAAACCATAAATGTCCAGAAATGAAGTTATTTGTAATAATGTGGAATGGCACAGGGAAAAAGTATTGAAGGCATGGAAAGCCAAGACACCAGCTGAACTCTCTC